AATAAATGTAATCTGAAATTAATAAACCATCCATCATTATAATTATTGGGGATTTTGACATGGATGGTTCATAAAATCAATTAGAAGATTATATTTAAAATGAAAAAAAGCTATTAGTTGATTCGATTAATTCAATTTATAAAAATTATGAACCAAATTTGATTTTAGTTGAAAAGGGAGCTAACAAAATTGCATTGGATGAGTGTCTCAAGAAAAAAATAACTGTTTTGACAAATGTTAAAAAGAAAGTACTTTAAAGAGTTAAATTGTGTACAAATGCTAAATTTATAAGCCTGTCTATATTAAAATAATGCATTGAAAGAAAGGAATAAATAGTTGGTACATGTGAGAAGGTTTTTTTTAAACAGTTTCCAAAAGTTAATTCTGAAAAAGGGGAAATATAAAAGGATTCAACCTTATGTTTCTTGAAAAATTCGTCATGTTAAAAATTTGCTACAATTGCAATAAGTGGCCCTTCAGAAGAATTGTTATCAAAACTAAAACAATGTTTTATCGGATGTGCTAGACTTGGTAAACATTAAGATTTGGAATCTCACTTTATCACTACTGAGTGTTCAATGTTTAAAAACAACTTATTAAAATCCATAGCGAATTAAGGTAATTTCACAACATTTTTATTTGAGAAGATTCCTTTAAAAGAATTATTCAATATAGAATTAAAATATATTAAGATCAATTATGTTATTGCTGATGTTAACAATTTTAACTACATTAAAGACTTTTCTAGTGTAGAAGAATATAAATCAAAGCATCCATCTTAAAGAGATAAATTAGAGGAGTTTTCAATGGCTCGGATGTGTAATAAGCCATAGGAGAAAAAGTCTGTGTATTATCATGGGGAAGATATTTGTTTAGGCTAATTTATTATCCTGAAAATAGCTAATATGGATAATAGATGCGAATTCTGTCACCTACCCAAAATAGCCCATGTTTCATTTTATTATTGGAGATAAATATATTTAAATAAGTGTTGATTAAAAAAATAGAAGTGGAAGAGTCATATCGACTAATAATTTTCTTAGTTGTCAAATGAAGATGAATAAAGAGATAATGTATACACTGCAAAAGATATTACTAAAATTGTTTTATAATCCCATTCAAATTAAAAGGGAGAAAAAAAGAAGATAAGAATAGAAACTTATATTTAATGTAGCAAATGCGATTTAAGTTCAAATATTGTTAAATTGTCTAGCCTAAATTTAGACTTTTCCTTTTTTTAGATTTATGTAAACGATATTGATGACTCCACCAAACACAAATGATAAACAAACAGGCTAATAAATTAATTGTAATCACCAATTGCAGAGAATATTTACGTATGATGAGTCAATGGTGAAGATTTAAGTTGGGGAAGTGGAAGTATTCAATACAATAATATAAAGTACTTTAAGTTAAGAATTACTAGATAATTTAAAAAATTGGGAAGAAGAATACATTTAGACTTAAAAAAAAAGAACTTTACTAAAGATATTTAAACATTACGTTCTAGTTAACATAATTTAAGAAGACTTTGTCGAAAAATGTTGAAGTAGATGGTATTGAACAATATTCTGATGAAAAATTTTGGTAGTAAAAGTTCTCAAGAACAGAATAAATATCTGATTTACAATAATTTACTTATACTTTGAGTATTTAATTACAAGATATAGGGGACTAAATAAAAACTGAAATGAAAAAGTTTCTGAATAAAAATTCTATAATTATAAGCTTAATAGAGCTTGATCATCCATCTCGTACAAATAAAGGACACCTGTCTGGATAAGACGACCTCATTCATTCTGATAGTATAGTTGGAGATGACATAGAGCATTAAAGCGATTAATTTAGTGAGATGAAATCATCAATTTTTAGATAAAATGAACAGATTTGAAGAAGCTTTGGAAAATTATGATTCAGCAATATAAAAAAATCCTGAATATTCTGACTATTATACGGGCAAAGGTATAATTCAAAACGGATGACATTTTAGCTATTACTCTAAGAAAAATGAACAGATTTGAAGAAGCTTTGGAAAATTATGATTCAGCAATTTAGAAATAACCACAAAACTCCATCTATAAGTCAGTTAAAGGTATAATAGTAGCTTTACAAATATTTAGCTCTCACTTTAGATCTAATGACTCTTATTAAACAAGCATAATAAATTTTCTGACAATTATTTACATCTTAGAAACGAACATTTTATATAATACATCTAATTTGCATTTACTTTTATATCATTAACTGCTGATCAAGTTTAAAATAGTAGAAATTTAATAATAATCATTTTTTGAAATTATTTAATAATATTATTATTATTATTGCTTTGTCAGCTTTCTTTTTATTTACTCTTTTGAATTCCTAACTATAGACTGTATAAATATTTTTGTGCCGTTTTTATGCCTCTTTTTACCAATATAATACTATATTCTTAATGATACAATTTATAATTAAATTTGTATTACCATTTTAATACATCATCATTTATATTTATGGTATTTATTCTTATTCTTATATTTCACATTTAAGCATTTATTTAACTATTTTTTTCAAACAGCTATTATTTATTTAAAATATTTTTTATAAAAGATATAGTAAATTGAGGTCCTAAGGAAGTAAATTGATGAGAAGTTGAAGGAATAGGAACCGAGAAGGATTTAACCACAGGTATTAGGAAGAATTCCAGAATACGAATTCTTTGTACCATTCAAACATGGCTGGAGGAAGTGCAAGTCTCATGACAAGAACTCGACCTTCGAACATATGATGGATAATTTATTAGGAAAATCTGGAGAGTGGGAAGGTAAAATGCTCAATATAATGGACTAAATTTAGGATGTAGAGACAAAATTTTACAGTTCAGTCCAGAAGGCTTTGAGGGAGCAAATTGAAAAGATTACTTCCAGGATTAAGAGACTAATTGAGGAGGAATGTGGCCCTTACAAAAGAAAGTAAACATCACGAGTTGAAACAAATTATGCAACTGCTATGAGATTTTATTCACATCTATTATTAGGAAACATTTTAAGAAAATTAATGGAAATGGGAAATGATTGCTTCTAGTTTTATGTTGATGTATACAGATTAAGGCAAAGTTAAATATTAAAAAGAACATTTAATATCACATCCTAGAGGAACGATAGCAGATGAGATTTTAAAATAAAAACCCAATTTGAAGATTTATCAAAAACTATATTGATTTTAACTAAATCAAGAATAGTTTCAAAAAAACTAGTTTGAGATAAATAGTACAAGCTTTAGTGATTGAGGCAATAAATAGAAGTACCAAAAATTNAAAGTGGAGAAATTTAGATACTTAGGAATAAAGCTGATGGTAAAGGGAAATTTAAAATATCATTTGGAGTCCACAAAGAGTATACTTCTATAAAAGGTTGCACTGCTCGGGATGATTCGCAAGATCATTCCCTTTCGATTGTTGACCAAACTTTGGTCGCTTTATACGCTACCACATATTAGATATGCTAACATGGTAAATTAGAAATAGAAGGAGTCAACCATAATACAATGGCAATTTGTTAAAAGGAACTCGTTTAGGAGGATCATTGGCTTGAACAAGAGTTTGCTCAAGGAGAATTACATTGAGAACTAATTGAGGATCAATCTATATAGAACGATTCATCTACATAGCTGCAAAGCATGTAACTGTACAATTTCTTCTTTGTACATTGAGAAAGTTGAGGTCAATAGTAGAAAATCAAAATTTATTCCAAGAGAAGCTAGAAATAATGCTTTAAAAATCTGTGAAGTTTTAGTAGAGGAGAAGAGATTTAAATTAAAAGATATAGTAAATTGAGGTCCTAAGGAAGTAAATTGATGAGAAGTTGAAGGAATAGGAACCGAGAAGGATTTAACCACAGGTATTAGGAAGAATTCCAGAATACGAATTCTTTGTACCATTCAAACATGGCTGGAGGAAGTGCAAGTCTCATGACAAGAACTCGACCTTCGAACATATGATGGATAATTTATTAGGAAAATCTGGAGAGTGGGAAGGTAAAATGCTCAATATAATGGACTAAATTTAGGATGTAGAGACAAAATTTTACAGTTCAGTCCAGAAGGCTTTGAGGGAGCAAATTGAAAAGATTACTTCCAGGATTAAGAGACTAATTGAGGAGGAATGTGGCCCTTACAAAAGAAAGTAAACATCACGAGTTGAAACAAATTATGCAACTGCTATGAGATTTTATTCACATCTATTATTAGGAAACATTTTAAGAAAATTAATGGAAATGGGAAATGATTGCTTCTAGTTTTATGTTGATGTATACAGATTAAGGCAAAGTTAAATATTAAAAAGAACATTTAATATCACATCCTAGAGGAACGATAGCAGATGAGATTTTAAAATAAAAACCCAATTTGAAGATTTATCAAAAACTATATTGATTTTAACTAAATCAAGAATAGTTTCAAAAAAACTAGTTTGAGATAAATAGTACAAGCTTTAGTGATTGAGGCAATAAATAGAAGTACCAAAAATTATAAATAATTCAAAAGAATTATGGTAATTAATTAGAAAAAAGCAAAATAAGTCAAACCATTAGAATTTCATAAAGCCAAATTTTGACAGTGTATATGATTATGAAAATTTGAGATAACGACTAGAAGATACAAGAAAAATCTAGCTATAGACATCAGTACTTTAATATTAAAGGGATTTTAAGCCTTAAATTAAATAGATAGGTAAGAACAGAAATTTAATATCAACCTTTTTAATCAATTTATAGGTATTTCTTGAAGGAAGAATTACCTGAAGAACTATGTATTATTGCAGCACATAATTGAAGAGTTGAATGAATTTAAATATTAATTTAAATAAAAAGATTCAAAATTTTACAAAATTATTAAAAATAAAGAAGTTCCATTATAATAGTTTAAGCTATATTTGAAAATTTTAAATAATAACGTTCTATCAAACTTATCAAACTAGAGTAAATGAATTTTAAATTTAATTAAAAAAATGAATTATTCTTGAGATTAACTTGGTATTCTGAATTATTTAAAATTATAGAATATATATATATGCTGATCCAAAAATGTCTTGAATGAATCTTATTTATTAAAAGGGTAATTGATGATTTAATTGCAATACTATAATTATCTAAGTAATTACAATTTCATATTTTACTTTTGCTTATTAAAAAACAATTACAATAATAAAAATAGAAAAATGTTAATCTTCTATTCAACGCTAATATATGATAAAATTGCAATTTTCCCTCGATAAAGAGTATTAAATATCTTAAATCTTAACTGATTCTTATAGTGTTGAATGATAAAGGGAATGGCAAGCTCTATTAAATAACAATCTCCACATTATCTTTTAGTTTAGAAATATTAGCCCATATGAATTCCATCCAACAAGGAGAGATTTTCTTTCAATTAACGTAAAGTCACGACAAATTCATCAATTTGTGTTTTTACCTAAAGTAAACCATTCTAGTTTTTAGAAGATAGAATCGAATGATTGGCTTTAAATCAAGCTTAAAGCAATTTTTTATAATGAATTCCAGCATTATAAGTGTAGTTTCATTAATTAGGTCATAATAGATCTAATCTAATATATTTATTACACTTGTATATGACTAGGATATCCAAGTATTCAATATTACAAGCTATTTAAGTTTCTAAGTAATTAAAGCAAATCTTGATTATTCTACAATTTTCTTAATATTCAATCTAAAATAGCCTTAACAACCTAATTGAGTTTGAATCAAGTATAGTTATCAAAATAATTCCTTAATGTGACTACAAATTGCACAACAGTTAATTCTAAGACTATAAAAATACTGATTAAGTTGACAGATTATTAATTATACTATTTTCATTCCATAGATATTTTTTAGTTAATATCTTGATAAAATAAGAAGGAAATGATTTTTTAATTGGCACAATAAAGGAATTTTGTGGTCTTAAAGAAAAAAGAGAGTAGTAAACTCATTGTTTAATGCGATTAGCTCAGTGATAAATTTCGATGAAAACTGATGTTCGTATATCTTTTAGTATTGAGAGTGTTAAAATTTGAAACATTTATTCTAGATACTAGTATTTGCTTTACAAGTATGGGTAAATTAGTAAGCTATGATTTAATTCATATAAATGCAAATTATTCACTTTCTAGTTAACTTGATTTACAGGTTCAACATTTATTCTTTATAATCTCTTCGAAATAACCTTTTTGTTTCATTTAATTGCTAATCCTCCAATTATCATGAAATTATATTTTATTTAATTTTCTTTAACCTAATGAAATAGCCCTGAGACTGGTTTCCCTTTCTTGCTCTAATTTCTAAATTAAGTGCATATATCAAATAACTATTTTGATATCATTAGCATCAAGAATGTGAGGGAGAGGTAAATAAATTACACTTTGAATATAGAATGAGATTAATTAAATTCTAACTTTCTGATAATCTTATTAATTTAATAATAAGTTATGGAACCACACAATCATAAGATAATATACAAAAATATTAATAAAAATGATTAAATAATATTTCGTTATTCAATTTTTAGAGCTAAGTAATTCATTGAGCAAAAATTATTTTATTCTACTTAAATCTTTTAAGTAAAAGTAGTGTTCATGGTTCATTAAGATTGATAAAAAGATTTTTTTTTTTTTCTTAGAATACTGGGAATGAAACATTTTGAAAATACATCTTTAAAATTAATTGACTTTGACTTGACAACAGAAATAATCCAAATAATGTCTCCATGAATGTTGTATTAATTATTATTATTTTTTCAAAATAAAATTAGATAAAGTAAGAAATTATTGTTATTTTTCTATCCATAATTACGAGTAATAATAGACTCATGATCCAAGTGCTTTTATAATGATAAAGTAGAAGGATGAAATTACAGTAAATTAAATTAAGATTGAATTAAGTGATGAGTGAGTTGGTAAATATCTACTATTTGTGAATACTAAGATACTAAAAATGTTGGTAGTTGAAAATAGTTCAAATTAAGATTTGGGTATGAATTGACTTGAGTGATTAATCTTTTGAATTTTGGAAAATCATTTTTAAAGGTGAGTTTTAAAGTAAAAAAATTGGCAGATGGATTATTATTATTGAGATTCAGAAACAAAAGGAATGTAAAAATGTATTATCAAAATTTTAATGGGTCGATTGAGATAATGATGATTCAGTAAATTAAGTCAATAAAATTATTTTGTTTGGATATTTGACATTTCGTTTTTAGCCATAACAGATTTATCAAATTACTATTACTCTTATCGTTGTTCTCTATACTTTCTAAAACACTAGTCATAATTAAAATTTTCAGTATCTTATAATGAGTAAAATAATCTATTTGGTGGATATTGTTGTTGATTTAGGAGGGATTTGCTTAGGAATACATTTTTTGATTAAAAATAACTAAGTATCAGTACTATTTAATAATATATCATTTTGTTTTAAACTATCCTTAAGTAATAACCTGTCCATCTTACTAGTTCTTGGATCTGTCTTATATGTATCTTATTTTAATAATTTATTCTAATAAAAAAATGGCAACTATCATTTAGAAGTGCAAATAAATAATAATGTTACTCACTGGGCTACTATTTAGTTATTTGATAAATTATTAATAATAGATTGAATTAAATTATGCATTTTATCTCAGCCTTATTGCACTATTATAAAAATAAAATTGGAAGTTTATAATGAGAGAATCAAATCTATAATTTATATTTTTATAGCAGTTTCTTTGGATTCTAAAATTATTCAAAAAAACAACAAATAATAATTATTTAGCAAAATCGTTTCGAAATATTTATTTAAAAAATAATTTTTGCTTAATGAAATAATCAAATTTCTAATTATAAAGTAAATCCCAATATATATTCATCTATATTTTTCATCCATCAAAAATTTTTAGTTTGATACGCGAAATCATTTAGAATAAGACTTTTTAATTATGGAAAAATTCTAAAAAAACCTAGACAGAAAGGCTATAAAGATTTTACTCAAGGTTACAGATAACTTAAAATTAAGAACGTGAAGAGTGTAGAAAAGTAACTATAATCTTATAGATAGATTTCTCAAAATTTATCAGATTATCGGAAGAGAATATCAGTTTATTCTTTTAAATAAATTTTAAGTGCCTCCTTACTTCCATTAATGATTTATCTTTTTAAAAGTACTATCTAAAGTTCAACTCAAAGATATATTGTTCATTCTATGAAAATTATCATTAATAATTTAAGTTTATTCAATTGAGAAATTTATTCTATGGCGAAAATGGTAATATCTAAGTTATAATATGTTAACACAATTCAAACAAGTGGAAAAATAAACTTTACAAAATTATTTAGCATTTTTATCTTCTATGAATGCCAAAATAATATTAAAGCATAAACTTCTTTAAACTTAAAAGTAGTGGGGCAATTCATTGATTGTATAATAAATATTAGAATATATTTTTATAAACGTATTTCTCAGTTATGTCTTTATAATGTGAAAGAGTTGGATGGTATTTATTTTAGTTTTAAGTAATTATTTTTTTATACATATTTAGGTATTTGATATATATGTTAACTTTCTTCAACTCCATAGCATTCTACCATTGAATTTCAAAAATAACAGTTTATATTACTCTTTAGACAATAGAATTTGCCTCCTACAGTATAGAAAATATACCAATCTTTTCCTTTCAAAGTCTTATAATTAGTGTTAATAATTTTCCCTTTTAATGTTAATATCATGAAAAACATCAATCCTAAAATATTGAAATAAAATGAACTTATTTTGAATATAACTATGTAATTCTCAATATTTTTTACAAGAAGAAATTTAATTAGTTAATTTTTAATAAGGCAGATCAAATATTTTAACACATGGAAATTATTCCAAATTTGTAAATCTCAAATTAAATCTTCTAATAATTGAATTAATGTGATTATAAATGGCATATCTTTTAATAATGTAAAATAATAAAATAATAAATATTCAATATATAAAATAAATATATTAAAAATGACTATCATTTTTTGATATGAGGTTAAACATTTGATATGATTTCGGTAATGCAACTTATAAGTTTCTTAACGTTGGGCAAATCTAAGCATTCGTTAGGCCCATGTTCATTAGCGCCTGTTCCTAAGACTCCAACAATTATGAAAGAAGCCTTAGGATGAATGGCTTATAAATGAGTCATCAAATAAATGGCTCCTCCATCCCCAAAAGTGGATGCTTCATTCCCATAATAATTTAGTGATGCTTAATTAATAATTGAATCTAAATAGGGCTGATTGTCTAAAGCATTAAATCCAGAACCTGATCTTAAACCAGTGATTGTGACAGAAGCATTATATGGAACATTTCTGGTTAACTAAAGAATTAAAATTTCAAAATTACTAATTTAACAAAGCTTTCTTTAGCTTCTTAGTGATTTTTAGTAGGTGGTAATCTTAATGATAATTTCAGAGTAGTTTTAGGTGTTATAACATCTTCAGCGGAGTTGGAATCAGGCAAATCATCTCCACCAATTACTGATAACTACGCCTTCCATATTTTATTCAAATATGCTAGAAAACGATCTTGATAAACAGGTTAAGTATTTTAATGGAATGGGAATTTAGTAATCACCTCTTTAAAGACTTCTGCAGTTTTTTAGGTTTCTAAATATCGTTTTCCAGGAATAATAACTTGAAAATCATCAACTACCTCTCCAGTCTATGGATTTTCAATTCTATTTAACAGTTATCTTAAAATTCTAAAGGAAGATGGAATTATTCCTGATTCTCCTGAATCAACACTTTCATTTAATACCTGAACTGTGACTGTACCGACAACTATTCCTCTCAATGTAGTTGTTACCCATAGTCTATCGTAACTCCCACAACTAGCATCCAAAGCAATCACTAAATCCACTTAACCAATTTTTTCTTTTAATTATTCTAAATAATGATATATATGTTGAGACCCACTCTCTTCATCAGCTTCGAATGCCATTATTATTCTTGGATGTTTTAGTCCAAGCTCTTATATTGTCTTAATCGCAATAACAGATGCCATAATTGCATAACCATCATCTGCTCCTCCTCGACCGTAAAGTTTTTCATTAATTATTTTTGGATCATAAGCTGATATTCCCTCTCTCCATCCAGTAAAAGGTGGCTGCTTATCCATGTGTCCATAAAGTAAAACAGTGCCATCGGCCATTCCATCTGAGCCTTCAACCTCAACGAACAAAAATGGAGAATAATCATCATCACTAAAAAGATTTATTTATGCATCTATTTTAGATTAACATAACAAATACTCTTTAGATTGGCATTTCTTATATATTTTTCAAAGGATTCTGCAGTCTTTAAGAGCAATCCATTACTCAAATACTCTTAATCAAATTCCCTTGACATACTTGGTATTCTTAAAATATCCATTAAAACAGGCAAGGATTCAACAAAAGAGCTGTCAACCTTATTTCTTATGTCATTAGCACTTGAAGTTTCCATTTTTTGAAAAATGAAAAAATGTTAATTTATTTTTTATCAAAAAGCTAAATTAAAACACATTTCTATTAGATTCATAATCTGAAAAAAATTTATTTCAAAAATAATTTGTTTCCAAAAATACTAATTTAAACAGAATTTATTTATAGCATAATACAGATTCAAAAAAACATCTCAATGAAATAAAGAATCATCCCCAGCGGATGAGTTTGTAAATTACTTCTCCCAAACAACAAATACTCCATTTTACCATTTGCCTTATTTTTCAATATTGTTTTTTCCAATATAAGTTCCATTTCCATGTCTTTTTCCATTTTTCCAATATCCTTTATAAATCTATATGATATTCTAAACAATTACTCTTCCATCACCGTAATAGAAAGTGCCATATCCATCTCTTAAATCATTAAAGAAATCGCCAATATATTTAGATCCATCATTCCAATAAAATTCCTAGGAGTAAACTTAAATATTTTACCCCTTATCCACTCATTTTATTTTATTTCCATAACCCTGCATATCTAGTGCCATCTGAGCATTTGTAAGTTCCATATCCGCAGAAGCAATTATCTGCAAACTCTCCTACATATTAAGAACCATTTGCAACTGTGTATATCCCTTAACCGATTTTTATTCCATCAACATAATTTCCCTCAAAACTTGCGCCATCTGGCCATAGTTCTTTGCCTTAACCATTCTATTTATCATTAATCCATTATCCTAAATAATATCCACCACTTGATGTAGTTAACTTGCCCTAATGTAGTTAGAAATATCCTTACATAGCCATGAGCTTTGTCATCCTTCCAATCTCCTTCATAAACATCTCCTTCCACATGGATAAGTCTTCCCTTCCCATTTTATTTATTATCTTTCCAATACCCTTCATAGTATGAACCATCTGACCAGTATTAGACTCCTTTACCCCATTTTGCACTAAAATAGCCAAGGGTCATACTTATCCTTCCATTAACCTATATATATATGATCATGTTCATCTTGTACAGGTCCTCTCGTTATCAAGTCTGGTTCTGATTAGCAAGCATCATAAATAAATTCGGGTAAGCTTTTTCTAAACTAAAAGAGAAATCAAATTTAAAGTATAACCATACTTATTTGGTTAAATTATCAAGTGTTTCTGGCACCTTCTCGATAGTTTTTAGATTTTAAGGCGCATTAGTTTCTTTTGAAAAAGAATTAAACTTCTTCAGATCTACCAATTTAATTTCTTATCTGCTTTATTTTTTTGATGAAGCATATTCATTAGTAGCTGTTATGGCTACACTACTATTTTTGTGATGATTTTAATGTTTTTTTCTGGTTAAGTACCCTCGAACAAAACCTTGGGAGATAATTAGTTGGATTACATTAAATTTTTAAGGCAGCTTTATTTGCTTATTCTAAGTCTATTTAATCTTTTGTAACAATTTATAGTGAGTGGCACTCTACGATTGAAGACTATCCACAGCAATTCCCCATTTAATTTTTTATTATATTTTTGTATTAAGAAGTAAAGGTATGTAACACATTTAACAAACAAAATCATATAGATTGCATTTTAATAATTTTATACATAGGATAGAAATCATTCATTGATGTAAACTTTAACTTCAGGAACTTTTTTTTAAGATTTGTTTATCTTCAACAAATTAATTACTAAATTGACATAGTCGTTCTTATGATATGATATTTCAAATAGATAACTTAACATTCTCTAATTCTTAGATGGTTTAAATATCCTTTATAAAGATGTGACGAAAATGGTAGATTCAGACCCATTGGCAACTTGCGATCTATAAGATAATTGATGATGAATAAATAATACATTAATGTTTAAGTCTTGGGCTTCCCTAAATATTCTTGTAGGATTTCACAGTGGACTTAATTTACAATGTAATTATTTTCTTTAACAGAGTGATGCTTTTTTATTAAAATAATTAGTGTTAATTCATTCAATCTCATGACTCAAAATATTGTTATTGATATCACCAGGTCTAACTGGTTAGTGATTGATGGAAAAAAAAGTATATTTTTTTAATAATAAATATTTAATGTAAAGGAGATAAGATTCAAACAATAACAGAATTCGAATATGTATCGACCGTTCAGTTGAAGTTAGGAATACTCGACAAAATTTGTCGCCGTTATAATCAAATCATTTGATATCTCCTTAAATATACAAACACCTAAAATTACCCTCAATCAAGCAATCAAGATCTCCGAGTGCCAGAAATCAAAAAAATAATGCAAAAAATGTTTCATTACTCAATTAACAAACAACTGAGCTCATCAAAAAGTTATCGTACAATAGTGTAAAATAAAAACATCACAGATTCATCACAGAAAACAAACGTAAGAGCTCATTAAGTTAAAATAAATTGGAACCATAAACCAAGTTAACTTCAAAAGTAATTTTAAATTGAGTATAAGCGAACTCGATCAATTTCCAATATGGTTTCCAAAAATTCATTAATTGTTTCAACATAATTCGAAGAAGAAGAGGAGTTGTCAAACCAAATCAAATTGCATACTAATCTCCCCTAAAATTAAATTAAGATAGAAATTATTGATAAAGTTTAATCGAACTATGAACAATCACAAAATAGATATGCAAAGTTCAAGGCACAACAATAACAACTACAAAATGAAAGTTATCAAAAGAGTGATAATTAAGAATTAAACAGTCTAAGACAATCCTTATTTTCTATCATCGAAAATAGTAGAGTCTAAAGACATAAATTTTATTAATTTGGAAACACAGATCAATAACTATAATTATTGGAACAATTATATTTGTAAAACGAAAAGCTTGTTAAAAATTATGTCTAAATCAGATAAGAAGCCCAGCAACTTGATTAGAAAGTTAAATCCCTCTCAAATCAAAGAAGGCAATTTAGAATATAGTGATTCTCTTTTTGTAAATCGTATTTCATACAATCAAATAAAATATAAAGGTTTTTGTGTATCCTCTTTCATATCCTTCAAATCTTGTTCAACAATTTACTTCATATAATCAACTCTCCTTTAGTAATTTTCATCTTTGATTAATTTTCCATATTTTTCAAATACTCTATCAGCTTCTTACTTTAGACTAACACAATCTTCCAACTTTAAAGCAATATTTAATTCTTATCCTAAATCATAGGTAAATTTATCAATTTCATTCAAACCCTTAAAAATGGTCTAATAATCTAGGAGTATTAGTAGAAATATCAATCATACCTTATGGAGCATTCCAATCAAAATTCTCACCCCACAACTGATCCTGCATTATTTCTGGTAAACTTGGTCTGTCTAATGGATCTTTTTGCATCATCTTTCTGATTAGGCTTCTAAACTATTCATTATCAATCCATCCATCTGGAAATTTGAGTTCTCCTTCAGTTGCTTATTTAAAAATAAGGTAATCACTCTTTCCATCAAAGGGGTACTTACCAAAAGCTATATAATAGAATAAGACTCCTAAAGAATATATATCTGATTTTTCATTGGAATCTTTATTTCTAATGCATTCAGGAGCCATAAATTATGGAGTTCCCACAAAATGTTTCATGATTTATTTTTCTATTATTCTATCTATCCATCATCTTACCTTTTCTTCCATTTCCACTCCCTTCGATTGTGGGATCATTCATATCTCTTGCAGTACCAAAATCAATCAATTTTATTTAATTATCTTAAGTTAACAGAACGTTTTCGCTTTTTATGTCTCTATGTACAATCCCAAGTTTATGAATGGAATTTATGGCTATCTTCATACACTTAATTACCTTTGATCAATTCAGTTATATAATAAAGACAAAGGGGAAAAGCTTACGCTCCAAAATTCTTAACTATTTACCACAATTCTCCACCCTCGACATACTCCATTTACATGTATAGGTTTTCAGCATCTTGAAAAGTTGAATATAATTTAATAACATAAGGGCAGTCAGCAAGTTTGCCTAAACAATGCTTTTCCATAAATACATCTTTCTCCTTATTTACTTAGGTTAACCTTCTTTTATTAATCTACTTTAAAGCAAAAATTTAATTGGTTTCAATATCCCTAACCCGAAAGATCTCAGAAAAGTTTCCCTGTCCAACAACCGAAAATTCAGCAAAATCTTCAATATCTTTCTTTCCTTATGCTTTTCTTTGGGCTTTCTGTTATTCTCGTTATAATTGTAGTTGTATTTCAGAACAAATAGATTTATGTTGTTTCCAATCTTATTTTTAGCATTCTATTGAGCAGTAATAAAATGATTTGCACTGTGAGCATCTCAATAATTCTACATCTTATATTTTACAAACAAAGCAACAATTTTGAGGTTTCTATTATGTATCAGTGAGCATTATATTTTTTATTCAATTTATCAAAAAATATAATAGAAATTATTTTTCTTTAAAAAAAGAAGTGATTCAATTAACTTAAAGTCTGCAAAATTTACAATCAGTCAATGAATTATCACCCAATATTAAGTTTGTAAATTTAAGTAGTAAAAAAAATATTTGATTATAAAATCTCTAATTATATCACCCTTTAAATGACTTGACTACAAATTTCAAAGAATGTTGATGCTCTTTCTATTCATAAAATATTTATAGGGTGAAAAATCTTGAGCTTAACATAATTTTTACTTCATAATATTTAATATTGTAATATGAATGCTAACTCTAAAGATGCATTCTCGGCTTCCTTATCAAAATTTCATCGAAAAAGTGTTCACTCTCAAATGGCCAACACAAGTGGATGCAATTAACTGAATGATGGTCAAAATATTCCGCTTCCTGAGTTGAAGGTTAGAGGATTGCAGAGTGCAAAAATTAAAGCATCCCCAAAAAGATCCCCTCATATTTTAAAATTTTATGTACATGAGGCTTAGTGTATGCTAAATGATCCTATTAAAAAAGCTAATGTAGTATACAGTTTTATTTATGGATATAGAGGAGATATGAGAACTAATCTGAGTACGTATTCGTGGACACTTACTTGGATGCTTTGCATGTGATTGCACAGGAGGACAAAAGGTACAAGTAGGCGAATGGACAAACAATTCAATCTGATGAATTTTCAGAACAACAAATTTCAATAAATCCTTAACCTACTTTGCCTAACTTGCCTGCTTAATTGATAAGGGAAAGGATGAGAGTTTATGCATAGAGTTAATAAAAAGAACCTTAATCTAGTAAGTTTTAATAATCGATATAAAATAGTAGAGTCTCAATTAGCTTAGAGGTAGCCCTAGAAAGTAATAAAAACTGCAACCAGTCTGATGACCAAAAAAATATTCCCAAACAAATTAACTGTATCTTTGTCAGTTCATTAAGCTATTCCCTCAATTAAACATAAAGTAAGTGCTAAAAGATGGGTCATGTTCACGAAACAAAAGAATGAGAAATGTTTTAATAAATCGATTGGATGGCAGGAGTTTCAAAAAGGGGAAATGGCCAGTATCACAAAAATCATGACTTGTTATACCACATTAACGTATTTAAAAGAATACAATATTGAGCCTGATTAAATTAAAATAAAAATTCCAGGCCATGCTGAATGCATTGATGGAACTAGTGCCTTTTTAAATGCAGGAGGCATATTAACAATCAAACAATTGTTATTCGCTCTTATGTTGCCTTCTGGGAATGATGCAGCACTTGTCCTGAGTTTCACAATAGCCTACTTGATGATATTGCAAAAGACCGAGGTTTATCAATATAATAGACACTTGAAAGGCACCATAATCGACATCGAGCCGCAAATTGAAAGAAATAAGAAGTTACTCAAACACACGTTTCTTGATCAAATGAACAAGCACGCGAGTTCGATCAAGATGGAGAATACCAACTATTCGTCTGTCCATGGTTTGAATGATGAAAAGAATGTCTCGTGTCCTCATGATATAAGGTACTTGCTTGGTTCTATAGAAACAATAGTAAATTGATAGAGAGGTGCATTTAGTTGGATGTGTTCCTTGAAATCATTACGACAAAAATATTTAAGACTCATGCTCTGACTGATAAAGGAGGCAAGTCGACTTTGTACAAATGGAAAAATACGAATAAGTTACTGAAGAAGTCTGGTTGGATGGGAGTGAAGACTGGGGTTACTCCTAATGCTGGACCTTGTTTCACAGGATATTACAAGAATGATAATTTGGAGGCGATAATTGTTGTTTTAAATTGTTCTTCGATGAACTAAAGATTTAGAGATGCAGAAGTATTACTTGTCTCAGCATTGAAATGATAAAATTAATTTATTTATTTATATATTAAAATTATATTAATGAGTGATATATTAGTGATCACTTAAGAATTAATAAATGATGTAGATAGGTAATTCATTGGAATAATGCGTTTAGAACGATAAATTATTTCACGGTGAGCGATCCAAGAAGGAAGAATAAATTCATATATCAATATTTGTCCGACTTTTACTTGAAGCAAAAAATTCCATTTGACAAAGTAATTCAATTCCTCAGAAATATCCAAGTAATCCTATTTAAATTATTGATTAGTAAAATGAAGCCTCTTTTACTATTCTTTTAGAAAATCTCTATTTGTGTACAATGGTTATTTAATAATCGTCTGATTCAAGAAAACTTTTAATATAGCTAATGCAAAGTTTGGCGGAAAGATTGACTTAAACTTAAAAGTAGGTTTTCTTTGACAACTTCGATGAAGAAGTGTTGTGGGAATGTGGATTTGTTTAATAAGACACTTTTTCATAAAGAAAGAGGAAAATAAACACAGATATCAATTTTTGTCAAAATAAGTTTTGGTCAATGAAGGATGAAAATGAAGGATATAGCAAATTGATGGTTGAAATTTTAGATGCAGCAAAACACACTCATATATACGACGAGGAAATTAAATAAAGAATCGAAAACATAATACATTTGATTGGATATTTTGATTTAGACCCTGATAGGGTGGTTGACATAATAATTCAAAGTTGGACAGAATACCCCTACAGTTTATCCTATGTTAAAATCCTTAAATAATTCAAATGCATTTCTGTTTGCCAATTCTTAGGTAAAAGATTCGAGTCAATCGTTTAAACCCTCTCCAACAATAACAACATAAGCATATTGATGACTAAGATGGCTAATTCTGCTTAAGTTATGCAAACTGATTAGAAAATCCCAGATCACAAATTAATCATCATCACTGCAACAGCTTTGAAGTACAAACTATTCGAACTTGGAAACATTTGGAAATACTTGTAGCCAAATGACCAAGATTTCTCAAAGATTTTTGAGGATCTAGCAGAAGACAGTTATAAATTTTACAAATCGTTTGATTAAGTCATGTAGGTCGAGGAATTGAGAGATTCAAGAAACAACAATGACTAATCAGAAAAATTGAAGAAAGACCTATTTGGACAATAACTATGTATTTTTAATTTATATTGAAATTAGACAATTAAAAATTGTGGTTGATGCAAGGATTAATCCATATCAATGCTTTCAATATATTTCAGGAGCTCTATAAATCTTTTGAAGGAATAGTAGACTTTACAATATTCCTACCAATCAAAAGAACCTTGGCAGATCTGATTGATTGGATGGTCGATCCATTACATGAGTAATTATATAACAAAACTCTATTCAAGAGTAGAAATAGAGAACAAAAGAAAGTAATTATACTAATTACTCAACCTAGTTCATATATGATCCAAATTGTACTACAGCCTTCTAAATAAAACAACTTGAAGCTATTGACGAAGATGCAATATCCATATTGAATGAAATCTTATCAATATTTTCCCCCTATATTGGTGAGTATCCCTTAGTATTCCACAAGTTGTGTAAAGTATTAATATCATCCTAAAATCCTGATGTCCAACCTCTAATTCTTGATCATTTGATCCCAGCTATCCAAAGTGGAGAATGTTTGCCTATTGTAATAGAGCTCTGGAAATACTTGGGACAATTGGACTTTCGCAAAAGATTTGATTGCTATTCAAAATGGAAAGACATTCATTAATTTTCTACCATCAATTAGACGATCAGAGCTGCTCAACTTACTAAGGAACACATTAGAAGTTTCTTTAACAAGATTGATAAAGATAACAAGGATAAAATGATGGTGAAGTTTGCTAAGCTATCTCACAATCAACCAATGATCGTAATGAACGTTTTAAGGAGGAACAGATTAGAAATACCAGATAATAATTCAGTGATTGTTCACACATTAGGATTGGCAACTCCTTTATCATTGGATATATTGTAGTTTATTATGATACAATGGCTATGTGATTTCAATGATGAATCAAAAGTTCGAGATAAAGACATAGAATGCAGATATTGGTTTAAGAATATTGCATAATTCATAGCAAGTGTACTAAGAAAATATTACACAATCGATATGCAAGGTTTGTTTGCTTATTTGATTGATGTATTTTCTACTGATCAAAGCAATCCCTCAATTAGTAAGAATGAATCCATCATCAAACCAGAAATTCTCATATTGAGGGAATTAATTGAAAAGATGACAGGAATAGTCCACATTGAGGATCTTACACCTTAATAAATATAAGCTTTGGCAGGAGGGAGGTATATTTAGCTCGAAACTACTTCGTAAACCAATGAGTTTAGGAGGTCTAGAAAAAGTTCTAGTGCTTTGGAGCAATTCTTTTGGTCGTAAACCATAAATTCACAGAGAATCCTGAATCAAAATAATCAGGAGGAGGTAGTTTCACTGGCATTTTTGATGCTGGTGGTTTTGTGTTAATAGAGATCGAGATTCATTTTGAATTATCATAATCAAAATTTGAAACCTTTGGTTGCATTGTATGATAACTTCACTTGCAGCATCAATTAGCTCACGAAATGCTTGTTGTTTTAAACTGACAAGCCAACTCATTACGCCTAGCTATTCCCTGAGAATCCACTGGAGAGGATGGTCATCGATTTCAAATTGCCTTTTGAGATTGCTTTCCATATTGTGAGATACAGTTACAAGAGTTTGTATAACATGAGTGAGGAGGAGTTTCAGGAGGAGGTGGATAACATAAAGAATATCTACGATAAGATTGATCCTAAGGTGATGTGCATCAATCCGGACATAAACAATCAATAGGTTCAGCAATTGCCATTGATATGTCACACTTATGTGAAGGACATCTTGTGGACGATCATAAATCCGGAGTTGTTTGCGATATTCTGGCTGTTGAGTTTGGATAATATTTATGTGCCATAGGCAATTTATGACTAACAGTTGAAGTGGTTGCAGGAGAACATCAACAAGAATCCAGATACGAAGGACAGGTAGAGTAAACAGCATCAAAAAGCATTTGATAAATTGCAGAATGAATTGGACAACAACAAAAAACGACAGGAGTAATTCGACAAGTGTTTGAGAGACAAGAAACACGTGTTTAGTTTTAAGGAAGCCGACCAAGCGAAAGAGAATTATCATATCAAATTTGCTTAATGTCTATCATAAGTTTGTTTGTTACCGAGGATTCTGATAGATCCAGCGGAAGCAATATATTGTGCGAAGTTTGTACAGAAAATGTTGAAGATTGGGAAACCTAGGTACACTTACACCTTCTATGTGCCCAAGGAGATCATCTATTTCACGTTCACATATTTGCAGTGTGCAACCGAAGAGGAGGCCTCGAATCTGAGCATATTTATGTAGTAACTGATCATACCGTATGCGAATTGGAATGACGAGACTAAGTTCAAGAACGACTTGAGGAACTACTTTGACACCTCAATTGATGGTTACGATAGGGAGAAACAGTATATAATTTAAAACATTTTTTTCAAGATGGCCCAGTTCATACGAATTTTGAAAAATAATGAGACACAGGTATGTAATAATGGTTATGGGTTAGGTTCGAAATGCCTTGATATTTTTGAAAAGAGTTTAGGATATTTTTCCTCCGACTCAGCAAGTGGCTGAATATATTAAAATATATTTATAAGATGTGGAGAAGGACTACGGTCACATTCAGGACATCAAAACTTAGATCAAGAATTTCCATATTGAAGATAAAATCAACACTCTACCAGTTTATGCTCCGAAGAGCTTGACTAGCACTGCTCATGACTCAAAAAAGTAGGCGCCAAATTAGGAAAAAATGAAATCAGTGGGGAAAGCAGTCGATGGAGAGCATGAGGAATACAATCACAAGGAACATTCAGAGGAAAGAAGAAATCCAAATAACAAAACAGAAAGTAGACAAGTTCCTAAAAAGAAGAAAAGTCACGACAAGGATAGACCCTTGAAGAGGTTAGATAAATCATGAATATTTGATATATATATAAATGTAAAAACGTTGAAAATTGATCACTTGAATTAATTTGGATTATGAAAAACACTCTAAAAATCAATTCAGTAATGAGAATCCTACAAAGTTTCGGGGAAGTGCAAATATTCGCAGAAGGAATACCAATTACATTAAATATAAATTACTGATATGGATTCATTCGATTGAGACTAATCTAGAAAAAAACGAATCTAAATTTATAAAAAATATGATTCGTTGAGTATTTAAGGGATTGATCAACACCATATAATCAATAATTAATTTATTTTACATGTAAATTTATCTTTCTTTAGCATTATTCTTCATTTATTTCGTGGCAGAGAGTAAGAATTACCAAATCCATATTTATTAGTTCAAGCTTAAACGAAGACTACAACTAAACCTAAAACTGTAGTTCCTGTGATCATTACAAGCGCATCCTGCCGTCCCACATCAGCTGCCATCCCCCAAGGTTCGTTGGCTGGAGGAACAACTTTATACATCCAAGTAATTTATTTTTAAACTACTATTAGGCATCTGGATTGAGCACTACTGTCTCTAAAAATGCAGTGTTTGTGGGAACATACCCTTGCATAGTGCCTGAAAATGGTGTTTCAGGGTTGTCAATCATTTGTGTGACCTCCCCAGCCAAGCCAGACGACAATAGTCTTGGATCACTCCCAATCGTAATCAAAGTGACAGGATCTGCAGATTCTACATGCACTGCAGGAGTCTATTGTTACTTTACCTATTTGAAATCTTTGACAAGCCAACTTTATTTTGTAAGTCCAAGAGTTAATTACCCCAGTCAATGGACCTTTTTCAGAGGTAAATTCTTGGTTAGCTCTTTGTCAAGTGCACAATTATAGATTTAATTTGAGAATTAAATTTGTGATAGAAGCTAATCTTCATAATCAGACATCGATGCCAATGATGACATTATCAAATGTTAAGTACCCACTGATGGCATAGCAGGCATCTACCCA